TTTTTTTTTACCATTGATTATGACATTTATTTTCATTGTAAAAAATTTTTTTAAAAAAAAAAAAAAAAAGAGCAAAAGTCAGAATTGATTTTCCCACCTAAAAGGTGGGAAAATCATTTCCCCTCACGCCTAGAAATGGGCGCGTGAGGGGAAAATCATTCCCTCATTTGCCTGGCAAAAGATTGCCTTTCAAACACCAATAATTGGCTGAAAATGGAAAATCTTTTCCTTTTCCATTCATTTTCCACCCTATCAAACACACCCTAAGTTATTTGTTTGGTTGCCATGAAATCACGTGAATGCCTAGGTCACTTCTGTAGCCTGCAGGGATTCTGCATTCCTTAATATGAAACAGATTTACAACACTTCTTCTTCATCTTCAAATAGATTATAATAAGAATGAATTAAATGCTTTGCGGATCTACTCAGCCTCTTCCCTATGGAGCATCGAATTAAGGCTTCCATCGCCTACAATATGTAGAAAAGGAAGCGAAAAAAAAAAAAATGCTGCCCAAATGCCAGTTCAACCTCAATCTGCAGAACATTCAAACGGATATTTCATGGAACACGAGTCCATCCTTTTCGGTACTGCACTTTTGCTAGAGAGCTGTAGATAAGATTGACGATGGTAAGAGAAGTGAAATATTATAGGACATTGGCCTTTACTTGCTTCATTTGGATAGAAATGAATGCAAGAATATTTTAGGAGCATGTTCTCACATCTCAGTGTTTATGGGACAGAGCAGTAATCCTGTCATCATTTTAAGCTTCGGCAGCAGACTACTTAGAGGTCAGTCCTTAATGGAAGTGCAATGTGAATTTTTCCCAATTTTTTTATAGGTACTGAAGAGAAATTTTGGGTAACCTTGTTCCAAAACCTAAATGCATTTGTCGAAGTAAGCTGCCACCAAAGCAACTGCTAAAAGATTATCTTATTCTGTTGAACAAAATATAGAATTCTTTTCCCAGGACGTTCCTTCAAATAGGAGTCATCTTACAGAAAGAACCAACCATTTGTTAAGAAGAAAAGTTAAAGCAAAATCATCAGGCCTGGTGCTGTTCATTCAATCGTGTCAAACTACATTCATTCACCACTAGCCTATTATTTTTCAAACGTCTACTAAAAGAAGGATACCACAAGTTTTACCCTCTTCATTTTTGTTAGCAGCAGATTCTACCACGATTCAGAAGGCAAGAGTTGCTCCTTCTTTGATCATGTAAACCTGGCCACTACAACTCTAGAAGTGTGTAAGGTTGTGCCCTTCTAAAAGATCAGTCTCTTGTGTAACAATGTTAAGCTTGCACGACAACTTGCTTAAAGAAAAGAATTTACTCCAACATCAATCTACATTCAATTGGGATATATATATTTCTCTCACTCATAGTTTTTGAGAGGCAAAACTTTATATATCATATCACTACAGTGTCACCAGAAACTACTTGCAGAAACCGGTATTCTATATTGTCAAATCATATTTCTAAAAAACGAGGTATCCTGCTTTCACAGTAGAGTAGAACTGAATCTTTCTCTTTTACATTCGTTGAACACGTAGTTCACCTCATAAATATCTTATTACTCTCAGATAGAAGTAAAAGTATAGCCTATAAATTCAGTTGCAGAGTGCTGAATTAGCTTGCTCAAGACATCAGAAACCGTGGAAAAGATTACCGTGCAGCTGAGGAAGTCAAAGTAACATATTTCTTTTAAAATGAGTTTCCTAACCCCCACTAACTCTTCAAGCAAACAAGAAAAACGATAATAACGAGAACGAGAGCTCAATCGATTCAACTAAATAAAGAAACCTTTCGTGAATTTAATCAGTCAACGGATTTTCCATACCTTGACATAATAAGCTTTTTTGATGTCGGTCTCGGTGGCCGTGGGGCTCACGCCCAAAACATCGTAGTATTCCGTCTCCTTCACCATCGGATCTCAGAACTGTTCCCGTCCCGTTTATCCCGATTATAAAATAACTATTTGAACCAAATTACGAGATGGTTTTTTCAATTCTGCAACAAAATCGAAAAAATCACAACGATTCTCAGCAAATTAAAGAATCACAAAGCAAAATCAGATGTGGAATTTATTCCGTTTCCTTGGAAAAGCAGTAGGAAAATGGGAAGAATCTAATCTAGTCGCTAAAATTGAAAGAATGAAAATCACCTGGAATCTAAAACAGTTATAGAGTCGAATTTGAATTTTGACCTGAAGTTTACGTCGTGTTCACTCGGGGAAACCATGGAGTCTTGGACCCAGTAGCCGTGTATTGGTGGGGCCTGCTTCGTCGGCTCTTACTCGAAAGCTTCACCAGAAATTCCACCTACTTTTTTATAAATTCCCTTTATTTCAAGGTTTCGCTATATGTACCCCGGATGTACATGTGCCCTGCGAATTTTTTATTGGACACGAGCTTCCCTATTGTGAATGAGCTGTACATTGGAATGTCAATTTTGATGTACAAATAACAAATTTTTATTTTTAGAATGTATTTTTCTTTCTCCTTTTTAATTACACATTGATCAATAAAATAATATTATACGTAAACTATTATTTTTAAAATTTTCTAACCATACTTTTTTCATCAATTTACTATTTTAAAATGCATTATTGCAATAAAATGGAGCTCAAACATGTTCTAAATGTTAAAAGTGTGTCATAATGAAGTAAATAAGAAATAAGAAATTTTAATTAAATTTGCCCAGTAACTGTTAAGTCAACCAATAGAAAGTCATTATGTATTAATTTTAGGCTAATTTAGATAAAAACAATTATGTCCAAGAGTGGGACCAAATTGGCAAATTATTAGTATGCTTGACTAAACTGCTAATAAGTATTTAAGTAAAGATTTTATTTATTTATTTTGGTTTGGTCAAATTTGGAATAAGCTCCATTTTATAAGGTAAGCATACCTTGTGGTCAAAATAATAAAAAGGAAAAATTGCAACAGTGGTCCTTTTTCAATATTTATAGACTTTACCTTTTCTTTCATTTGGTGCAAGGGAAGATCCATGACCTTTTATAAATATGCAGTAGGGGTTCATCTGGACAAAAATCGTCCAAAACACTGTTAGTAAACCAGAAAAATTTTTAAAATGTATTTTGACCATTTTAAGGAAGGGAAATTTCGTCAATCATATATTAATCATTAAAATAATTAAAACTAAAAAAAGAAAAAGACCCTAACACATCCCCTCCCCACCCCCTCTGTCTGCAATGTTGAAATTACTTTCATGGCATCACTCAATCCTTCAACATTTGCTTTCAAAACCCAATTTTACTCATTTCCCTTTTTCATTTATCTCTCATTTCATCAGCCACGGTCCAAATAAAAGATGACATTTATTACCCCCAATTTTCCCAAACAAATTTCAACAAAAATAAGATCAAACTAAGAATTTCAAGAAAAAACTCATAGCTTATTTATTCCGCAAAGAAACCACAATATATGTGATATTCATATTCTATTACTCTTTTTCCTTCAAATCTAAAATTAGTGGAACATAATTAATCTAGAAAAGATACACATTTGCAGAGGATGAAATTAATTTAGGTTTTGATATAGTGAGTTGGGATGGATTTGGTTTTGGTTTTGGAGGCGACGGGTCATCACTATGGAAGAAGGAGAAGCGGAGGTTGGGTTAAATTTGGTTTTGTATAGTGGGGGTGGGATGGAGAAGATGAACAATCCATGGTCCTTTTATTTTTATTTTTATTTTTTGTTTTTATTATTTTGAGGAAAATGTATAGTACTTTGAACAATGAATGAGAAAAAATATAGTATTGACAAAATTACCCCTCTTTAAAATGGAGAAAAAAATATTTGACACTATTTTCAACTTATTGATTATAGATAGGGATGCACATCCAAAGTCCTAACATGCAACTTGCGGCTTTCATGAAGTTTATGGTAGGAGAAGAATTTGTACGGGGTTAAATGATTCATGTGGACCAGCAATATTGATTTGTGTACGAAAGTTGCTGCTTTATAAAACCATCTTTATTTTTACACGTAATTTCACTTTCGGTCTGACAGCAGTAACATCTTAAACGCTTATCAATGAAATTAGGATGTTTTAATACAAAGGGAACTTTTCAGCTAAAATAAGTCAAATATGATACAAAGTTTGTTTAAAGTTCAATTTTCTTTTTCGGTGAGGATTTTGTTGATCGATGACTTTAGCCCTTGGTCACGTCATATCGAATAGGTGGACCAACCACGTGCCCTCATTGAGCTTGCTGGTCCTCCTTGTTCTCTTTAACCATGTTCCACGACTATGGGTAAATTTAATTGGTTTTATGGGCTAAAAGAAAGCCACACAAAAGAAAATATAATTCTGCTTCTTTTTCACTTGTCTGTTCCATTTTTATTGCAGCAAAAAGACAACTATGGGCTACTTTCACAAAGTGAAAAGTAAAATAAGTACAAATCCATCCCCGTCTTTACGGTAAACAACAACTTAGCGAGTATTTGGTACAGATTAAAATTAGATTTTTAGTAGATTGCGATAGAAATTTTTTGAAATGTGTAGTTGAAAAGATGTGGGACCAATAAAAAATGTAATTAATATTGATTGTTTGACTTTGAGTTAGATTAAAGTCTAATTTTAATCCCAAAAAAACAGGGCTTTAAGTCGAAATGTTCGTTTGAAACCTAAGCATTAGCTAATGTAGCATACATATCACCTACGAAAAAAAATTGAGTACTAAGTGCGACTCCTAGTTCCTCCCACCAATGCAAAACTCGTTTTACGGCCAATACAAGTACACGCAAAACACACGGCCAATGCATCAAGAACCCCTAGTTACGTCAAAATTGTCAAGAACCAACTTGATCGAAAACCCCACAAACTGTTTAAACTTTCATTCAACTGACTTCCAAGCTCCACTTCCAGTTGTTCAGGAATCATTTGCTCGTTGTCAGCACAGCCTTCCTCCTCGATTTTAGGCTTTGATGGACCTGGCTTGCTCCGGGTGCTTGCTTTTTCTTGATTCCACTCAATATATCATCCATTTTCAAAAGCATACATGCGGCTTCTATGACCGTCTTGAATGCTTGTGCCTTCACAGTGTACGAATCCCATATCTAAAAATACAGAGATATTGTCGTTAATACGTAGGATGTTGGAAAATTCCAACTTGTGGGCCACACATGTATATATATTAAAATGTGTGGTGTTATTTTAAAGTTTAGTCAATAAAGTGATCAATTAAAGCTAATTTTGAACTAATGGGTATTAAATATCATGGAAATAAAGTGTAGAGACCAGAATGGTTATTTTAAATTGACGAGAGGCCAATTTTAAAAAAATTGAAAGATAATAACTGCTTAATTCAGTTATATATCATGGGTCATGGTTCCCAATTGATACGTAATTCCTTATAATTTTTTCTCTTTTGATGCTTGATGGGGATGCAGAGATAAAGAAAATCCAAGAGGATAATGAAGTAATTAAGATAATTTATAACGCAAAAACACTTTAACATTTACAGAAATAGCCGATCATAAGTACAAGAGATTTGAGACTTGAGAAAGCTAAATGTTTTAAATAAATATCAGTAACCATTGCCTCAAATTTGTGTCAACAAAGATTACCACCCTAACATGTAATTATAACCAAAAGTAAAGCAAAATGGACAAAAATCATACCTTGCGCTCTTTCATATCAGCAATTTCACCAGTATTCCCATCTATGCCAATCCATGTGTTCTCACCATTTGCGTGCATTCTGGTGGTTTTTAAACAATCCAAACTGACACAAAAAAAATTAGCAAGCACCAATTTTTCCACCACTCGTACCACTCAAAATCGGTCCAAACCAGTGGAAAAAAAAGGGAAATTTGGTCAGACAGTCGGGTTCAACTAATAATTTAGACAAAAGACTGTTGACTCATATTTTAAAAAAATAAGAATGTAATAAAATGATAAAATGACAAAATTTCCCTTCACCTATTAACTCAAAATTCACCATTTTTCCCTAATTTCACCACTGTAAAATCCTTCTCCATTTTTTAAAATTTCCCGGCTTCCTTCTTCCCCTTCCATCACCTTTAAACTGCCTCTAAACAATCTCCAAACCGAGATAATCGAAGCTCCTACTCGTCATTGTTGACCACTCGAAGAGCCCAACCAAAGCGTGAATAAGCAGCAGCCATTTGATTTCAAAAGTCTGAGCAAGAAGTTCGAGCAAGGAGGCAAATTCGAAACACTTTTATTTTGCCTTTTTTTCGCATTCATATTTGTATTGTGAAGATGATTTTTGTGAGTTGGTATGATTTCTGTGGGTTGTTGCATACAAATATTAGGTATGCTTTCACTATATTAGTTTCAAGTTCTCCGCTATTCCGCTCCTACTTGCACCTTATATAACTTAGCGTTTGTTAGTTGACAAGTTTCAAACTAAGTTGAGGGATTTAATTAAGTTGCTATAATTTGTATTGTACAACTAACAAACTGCTATTTTAATTTTGTACTGCAAGTGGAGTGACGAGTCTGTTAACTTCAATTGGTTTTGTGGTAACAATTTTGCAATCAGCGTTTTCTAATCAATGTCTGTAGTAGTTTCAAATATTTTTTCTGTTGTTAATATTCATTCTGGCTTAACAATACAGGTGTTCTGTGTAATGTTAGACTACAACGTGTAGGTATAAAATGGAGAGCAAAACCTGTAACAGTTATCTCGAACATCCATTACTACAGCAATTTCAAGTGCACATGGAAATTGGTTCAGATCAAATTCCTTGCATGTGCATGTCCACCTCTTCAAATGAACAATGAAACTTTCTATTTCATCACTCACTTGCATCTCATTTGGGCAGAGAGCTTTCACCTCGAAACCTTTTGACTCGTTATACCTATCATATATCTTCTCCTCCAAAGGCGGGGTGAAGTAGCTCGTACATTTTTCGGTATCAACACGTCTATGTTG